TGTAGAACCTAGCGTCACATAGTTGTCTACTTGCTTCACTAATGTAGTCTTCCCTATTCATAACGGCAACCGCGGAACCTTTATCTGCAGGCTTAATTATAATGTCTGTTCGATTTTCAGTGAGTGCAGAGAATCTGTTTCTTCTTTTGTCAAATTAGAATATTTGTTAGTATGGTTGATATGTCTGAAAGTAACGTTTTCAACCGAGCCGATAAAGGCTTCCAGAATCGGAATTGAACTTTTTGGTGGGGTCCAGTCACTTTTCTTTCTAAATTTGGGTTGGTCGCAGCTTATATTTTCCTTTGATTTGTTTGTTGATTGCAAGGCAAAATGGGCTTTGAGTCTTAGTCGGTGGATGAACTGTTCGGTGTCATTCTTAAGCTTCCCTCTGTCGTATGTTTTTGGACGGGGACAGAAACTCAAACCTTTCGATAAAAGTTTTATTTCTGCATCAGTAAGTTCTAAATTGAAGATGTTGACTAATGTGTTAGTAACAGTTGCATTAGTGTTTGTTACAGACTGCTTGCGATTCTCCCTTTTGCAGCGATTTTTCTTCTTACGGTTGTTTTTAGTAGAAATTTCGTCAATTAAAGTTTCTTCAAAACAGTCATTTGATTGTAGATCATGACTTCTAAGTTTTCTATCTCTGACTTTGTATAGTTTCGAAGAGAGTCTTTGTCGATCCTTATTTCATTTGGACTAAAACGTACGCAGGATACGCAGAATTTGCTCCGACGATGAAAGATTCCTAGAAAGGTCTGAAGAGCTGGCTAAACATTTCATTTACCGAGGCTACGACAAAGACCTGATTGCGGAGGAAATACAAAGGGCCAAACAAACAAGCCGTGATGATCTACTCAGATATGGACAGAAAGAAAAGGTTGATAGGATACCATTTATTCTAACCTATCACCCAGACAATCCCAAAGTAGTCAAAATCATCGCAAACCGCTGGCCATCCGTGCAATCGTCAGACATACTAAACCTAATACTTCCGAACAAACCTGTAGTAGCTTACCGGAGACCAAAAACCCTAAAGGACATCCTAGTCAGGGCAAAGCTAACGCCAATGGCTAGTCAAAACCAACCTAATCAATCTGGATCCTGTGGCGATAAAAGATGCACAACCTGTCAACATATGATAGAGACCAAGATATTCACTAGCACAGTGACTAAAGAAAAACTAAACATACATGGTCCAAACAAAACGTAAAAAACAGAAAATGTGATTTATCTCATCACGTGTAAGATCTGTGGCCTTCAGTACGTCGGAGAAACTGAAAAGCTACACAAAAGGATAAACCTTCATAGATCTGATTGGATGACAAAAAAGCTGTACAGAAGCCCGGTCGCAGAACACTTCTCCTCCCCTGGCCACACTTTCAGTGATATAATACTTATCGCTATTGCTAACAACCACAGCTGGAGTTCGAAACCAGGAAGGAAAAGGAATTATACTGGATAGGCCGCCTCAGAACATTGAAACCAAGCGGTATAAACTAAGAAGACTAGAAAATGAAAACTATGCACTAGTAGAATTTAACATTTTCTAAATCTTCTTATTATCCTTCAATTTTTACTATAAGAATAACCGGTATAGAATTAAATATCCGGGATATAATCTGCGTTACATAAATGTACAAAAAGTAAAAATAGATGTCGCTTTGGCTTGTAGACTTTTAGGGAATTATACACCGTTTTCAGTTTCCGCAACTAGTCTATACAAGCTGGTTGTATTTATAGTTTTAACACATGTGGAGACAGCCATGTAGAGGCTTACAAACACAACGTTTTTGTGTGTATTTATTTGTCGTATATATGTTTTGTATTTGCCTTTGAAAAAGACTTATTAAGAGTCGAAAGCGCTTAGGCCAGTTAGTTACTAGTTTGGTACTGTTCGTCGTCAGTTTATTGCATCTATTTTAACCAATCCCTGACACACGTGATCCCTTGGTGGATCCAGTACGCTTGAAAGGGTTGTTATTCGCCATAAGATTTGTATTCTTTATATATATATATATATATATATATATATATATATATATATATATATATATATATATATATATATATATATATATTATTATGTGTGTGTGTGTGTGTGTGTGTCTTTTGGATTAGAGATAAAGTAATCAGTTTTTAAAAGCTTTTACAACTTCAGATGACACCAAGGATGGAACATTACCGTATCAAATGTCAAATTAATATCTACAGTTTTAGTGATTTTACCGAGTTCACTGTGTAGAATAAGCAATCTGTATAATTCAATATCAAAATCGTTAAACTTTATTTGTGATTCTCTTGTGTTTTGAAATCAATGACGAATATCATTTAAAGTTAGGGTGTATTTCTATTCTCTCGAAAACATTTTTTCAAGATGATTATATTAGAAAAAAGCGTCATCTCATCTAACAAGAAAGCAGAGCGCATTAGCTTTTGATACCGACATTGCTGATTTGCTATTAATGCTAGAAAATACTACAATCGCGTCTCCACAAACTGTACGAATCTATCACTAATCATCTTATGCTGCAAATAGAAGAAAATGCTTTAAATAAATAAAAAGTGGCACTATTTTAGGCACGTATACCAGTCTCAACCCTATTAATTCTGAATAGCAGGAAGATATGTATATTTTACATGCATATGTAAAAGATAATAATTGATATGAACACATTCTGATCATGACGTTTTCACCAAGTTCGCAGGGACTGAACAAAAGTGAAGAAAAGAGAGATACGCTGCATATCGAAAGTATGAAGGAAGATATATTTTCATGAAGGACTTATACTTTTACAACCGAAACTTTAAAATTATGCTCGCCTACGAGGACAGCCAATATTCTCTCTGATAAGACAGCATCTTTATGATAAGGGTTTAATATAACTTTAACGGCCAATATTGTTGCAAGATTCAGCACAAAATGAAAGAAAGGATTTAATAACTAAAGTGATCAAGGGACAAAAACATTTACATAGATTCCAGGACATGGCCCAGCTTGCAGCAAACAAAAATATCCTGTCAGTGTACGGAAGAAAGATGCCAGGTATTGCCTGAAAACTAATAAATTTGGAAAACATTTCAAAATGCAAAATTAATCAGAAAGCTAAGATTTATATAAACCAGATGCATACCCATTTACGTCAAAAAATACGGGTTGAAAATTTGTGCATGGTGGAGTTTGCGCTCTTCGACAAAAATATGACTTGTAAAAAACTTACAAGTTATCTTATAATAATAATCAGTGGCAAATATTGTTTGATGTTGAAATGGAAAGACTTAGAAACCAGTTACAATTAACGGATCACTCAAATAAATAGTACACAGAAGACATGAATTGGTTAACTCAAGTTGTTAAGCAAAGTGGACCAAAGCGTCATAAAATAATTATTGTTTTCATACTTTGAGGGATAAAACTATTGTGAAATAAATTCATGTGCAATTGTTGATATTACAAAAATTTTGATAACACAATTTAAATCATCAAATGTAATGTAAACAGTGGTGTTTCTTCATTTAATTGTAAACAAATAATGAAAAATGTCACATATACTGATAAAGAAGATTTTGTTTTATAGTTTATGGAGCAAGGACCGAAAATAATCGCTAAGATAATGGAAGACTTAAACTCCACAAGTAATATTTATGGTACTTTTGATCTGTTAAGATAATTACAAGGACATGTAAGGATAATTACAAAGATGTGTTATGATAATAACAAGGTATGATTTATTTGTAAACAATAGAAGCAAAATGACCAAGGCTTTCAGATTTTATAATTGTAACATTGCAAAACTAATAAAGCTGAAAAGAGAAACACCGCATACCAAGGATGTAAAATGTATGTATATATATATATATATATATATATATATATATATATATATATATATATATATATATATATATATATATATATATATATATATATGATAAAATATAGCTGGTATTGTAGTCGAAGAAAATTTTTTATAATATACAAGAATACAAAGAAAATTGGACATAAATGAGGACAACGTGTTTAGTGTAGGTTCCGAAAAGATGTTTTATAATAATCATTTAATTGAAAATAGCATTATTGTATCAAACTAAAAGATTATATGAGTCAGAAAAAGCAATTCACTTCAAGAAGACAGATACATTTATCAGTCTTCCTACTTCGTCAAACATTAGCGTCAACATAAAAGATTGATTAGTTCAAGGACTGTTTTTTTTAACCATGTGCTGAATATTTAGTTTACAAAACACATTTGTGTTCTTCTTATCTGCTTTTGGTTTTACCCATGTTCTCTTCTTTTATTTAATTGTTCATCTTTTGACCAATTGTAAGAGATCAGCTGAATAAAGCATCCTTTTATAATAAACAACTGCATTTAAAGCAGTATCGGATCTGTTTTATCGCTACGAGACAATACTTGAGTCTCTTGGTATATCCAGAAACGCATTTCACACTCATGACAGTATCAATCTACCATAGCCACTAGCAACATAGTCCAGTCTAACTGTCAAATCTGAAATATATTGATGAAATGTTATGGTCTTTCTTAATCTGAAGCATGACCTGGTTCCCCTAAATTGATTTCTAAGAGAAACATTTTACTGGATCGTACACAGTTATAAGAGACTGTTTTATAGATGTATTACTATGAACAGAAGCCCCTAATACGAAATTCACGCATTATCGGATGGCTTGATATAACTTTCTAATAACTTCAACAGTTTATCCGTTATTATTTTGAAGAAAGATGTATATCCAAACGTTCATTTAGATCAACATTGTAAACATTTTCTTAACTGTTAGCACCCCAATATTCCAGTAACAAACTCATTCTTCATCAGTTGTATAATTTTATCTTCAGTAGTTATATTCGCTGATTTCTTCTTCTTCTTCTTCTTCTTCTTCTTCTTCTTCTTCTTCTTCTTCTTCTTCTTCTTTATTATTATTATTATTATTATTATTATTATTATTATTATTATTATTATTATTATTATTAACTAAATGTTCAGGTGGCCTAATGCTTAGAGCGTCCGCCTCAGATGCGGGAAGTCGTAGGTTCGATCCCCGGTCGAGTAATTCCAAAGACTTACAAAAATGGTACTAACAGCTGCCTCGTTTGACGCTCAGCATTAAGAGGTTAGTGTTAGGACTGGTCGGCCTGGTGTCAGGATAATGTGACTGGGTGGGACATCATGCCGCATGTCTGCGGCATGATGCCCCAGTGCTAGACTTCACTATAAACTGCCACACTGCAGACATCGTAGCAATATGACTGAAAAATTGTTAAAGCTTCGTTAAAAATCATAATCATATCACATTATTATCATTTATAACTGGTTCATATTTTCCATTCATGTATCTAAACTCACGATTAAGAGGACCTTTGTAGTTATTACAATTTTTGTTAAACTGGTTTAGACCCGTATTCTTACTATTTGAATTAAATACTAGTTTTATTACAATCTTTGTTAGACTGGTTTAGACCCGTATTCTTACTATTTGAATTAAGTACTAGTTTTATTACAATCTTTGTTAGACTGGTTTAGACACGTATTCTTACTATTTGAATTAAATACTAGTTTTATTACAATCTTTGTTAGACTGGTTTAGACCCATATTCTTACTGTTTGAATTAAGTACTAGTTTTATTACAATCTTTGTTAGACTGGTTTAGACCCGTATTCTTACTATTTGAATTAAATACTAGTTTTATTACAATCTTTGTTAGACTGGTTTAGACCCGTATTCTTACTATTTGAATTAAGTACTAGTTTTATTACAATCTTTGTTAGACTGGTTTAGACCCGTATTCATACTATTTGATTTAAGTACTAGTTTTATTACAATCTTTGTTAGACTGGTTTAGACCCGTATTCTTTCTATTTGAATTAAGTACTAGTTTTATTGCAATCTTTGTTAGACTGGTTTATACCCGTATTCTTACTATTTGAATTAAGTTAACAAGCTGAAGATTATGACAAGTTTTATAATAAAATTCCTTTCTGAATGTAGAAATTAAAGTTATAAATAGATTTCACTGACACTGGTATACTCTCAAATACCTGTAATATATTCCGCATCCAGCTGTTTCCAGCCTTCTGACCATTTAAGTTAATTCATTAATAATGCTATCATAGTCAATTATATAATCTTTTTAGTGCAGCATATTTTTTTCTCATTAAATATTTGTCCAGTATCTTGGATTACTTAGGCGTCAAACTGAAATGCTACACATTGATATAAAACTCTACTTGTAAATTTCTTAAATCTGAAGTATATTATTACATTGCCGCAACTTTTTAGATTTTGATTCCTTTATGTAAATATATTCGATTACATATTGATATAGATTTAATTATGCTTAGAAATATTTTACCAATGCAAATAGCCATGATGCTTCTCTAAAATACATATCAGAAGTAAAGCCTAAATGTGCTATCTCAAATAAAGGTGGACGCCACCATTCAGAAATTAAACTTAAGAAAATTGGTACTTTAAAAAAAACAAGAAACAAACAACAACCGTTGGAAATGCATATTTATATTACCATAGTGGGGAAAAATGAGGCGGGTTCATTTTGATTTCTTTTTCAGTCCTGTGTGAAAATGTGAAGATCAGGAGCGTAACCTGAACGGTTTTCTTTAACAACATAAGTATTTACTTAAGGACCTTTCATGGCATCTAATTTTGTAAACATGAAACTGTTGCCGATTTCATTTACATCGTGGATTATGTTCACACAGAGCTTGTAAAAAGATTGTTTAGCGGTAAAGACTATCACAGATACAGCAGTAATTAATTTACCTTCACTAACCAAGAGTCGTACATCTACTTCACGAAGACCCTTAGTATAAACAGCTAGATCAAACAATGTCTTGAACAAATGCAAATATTATTTCTTATAGCTGCAGAAATCAATCAGACACATCATATCTATTGGAAATTAAATATGGCGACCTCCGTGATGCCCGCATGCAATGAATCAAAACGATTTAAATGGGAAAACGAACATATGACAGGCGAAATTGTCTATCAATTTAGAAAAAATATTCCCAAATATCGTTGTCTATCAATTTAATTAACAATCTAAATAGATAAGCTTATGTTGTGCTAAAAGATGCGACAATTATTATTCCCAACGATTTTTAGGGAAATGAAAGTAGCAATTTGATTGTGTTACGTATATGTGATTAAATTGCTTGTGTGTAAGTTTCGAAATTCCTTTAATATTTCATTATATTTTATTGCAATGAATATTTTTATCAGAGTCGAAATTCATTTTTAGTAATTAGATATTTTCCTTTACTAAATGTTGTTTGTTTAAGACGAAGATATATTACATGAGAATTATCATTTAGTTCGTCTTGTGCTGGCAACAATGTCAACAGGAAGGTACAATGATTGGTCAGTATCAGTATCATAATTTCGTTGCGTGATCACTCTGTGAAAACAACCTTTTTATGATTGGTTCTTAAGTAGGGAAAATTGGTCTACGTGACCAAAATAATGTAGTAAGAGACCACATAACCAATCTCGTGAGACTTGAAATGATATATGAGGTTTTAAATACACAATCCTAATAATTTTCTGGCAGAGTCATTCACCACCTTGAAGAAACAAGGTGTAATTTTTAATTTGTTACCAAGATTGTTTGTTCTTCGTTTGATTGTTAGATTTAATAATTGATTATCCTGGAAACTCAACAAGTTGACTTTTTAATATAATTTTCTGAAAACTATTCATGGAAATTTATTCTGGATTTATTCGAAAACAAAACTGTGATTCAAGTAAGAAGTTGTTGTTATTCATATATTAGACCACATCTGATGTCATCACCTTCCATAGTTGTACGTCGTCAGGACTCGAACCTGGATTCTAATAGGACTATTTAGTGATAGGACTTGTGTTTTCATTCTTAGGATAAAATTTTTGAAACTGTAAGTCCTATTTACCAATTTTTGCCATTATTGTCAAGGGGAATAAATTCCTTTCTTAAAATATACATAGCTTGTGGCTTTCACTCTTTTCTTTGTTACTGCGTTCGAACCCTTGTCACATAAGAAAGAAAATTGGTAACTCGTATTTGGAGTTATGAACTTTGGTTAAATATTTCATAAATTTGTTGTTAAAATTTAAATTCCCCATGTTTCTAAATCTTAAGTACTATTTTACATTTTTATTTGAAACCTTAAATGAAAACAACAGACATTTACAATGTCATGAAAAGTGGAAACTTTTCTTTTTAATCCAATTGCGGAACAGTCGGAGAGTCTTAAGAAAGATGAGGTGATTGAACTTGCCAGAAAATACGATCTTTCTGAAGCAAAATCTTCCTTAAGGAAACGAGAAATTTAAAAAAAATTGATCCAATATTTGTTGGGAAAACTTGTTTTTGATAAAAGTGTTTTGGCATCAGTCAGTAAATATATGACAGACACTGACATTAAGGCAATGGAAATTTAAAAAAAAATGCTAAGCGGAAGTAGAGTTAAAGACACTGACATTAAGGCAATGGAAATTCAAAATGAAATGCTAAACGTAAGTAGAGTTAAAGAGAGAAGAAAAGAGAAAATATTTAGTTGCAAAAGAAACGATTGTAATATGAGAGAGAGAGAGAGAGAGAGAGAGAGAGAGAGAGAGAGAGAGAGAGAGAGAGAGAGAGAGAGAGAGAGAGAGAAACAATTACAATTTGAAAAGGGGGAGAGAGACAGGAGAGGGAGACGGAGAGAGATACAGATGCAAAGAGAGAAGGATTATCAGCAAAAGTTCAGATATCATAAAAAGCTATGCAGACTTATGTTGACTTTGCTACTGAAAAAGAACAGTTAAGAGATGGTGCTTAATCAAGAATGTTGAATATGATTATGAAACTCTTGAACAACTTGTGTTACTTAAAGAATTCAAAACTGTATTCCTAATGATATCAAGAATCATCTTGAAGAGCATAATATTGAAACCTTGAAAAATGCTACCGTTGTTGCCGATGAGTACTACTTAACTCATAAAATTACTGTTGTAAGCAAAACATTCACTCAGCAGCCTATTGTTAGGAGGTTTTTAAGCCTGATACGACTCTCAGTAAAACTCAATCTGGCACAAATTCTAAAACGTAAGCCTCTGAGAAACTTGATTCAAAATCTTTGCCCATTTCTACGTGTACCTATTGCAAGAAAAAAGGACACATCATTTCTGATTACTTCAAATTGACATACAGGTATCAGCATCAAAATATACCTTTATCAAATGCTCTTATTTCTAAGAGCTAAAGGTCATGGTCATGTATTGAAAGCAATACATTTTGTTTGTCTAATAAACTCAAGTCTGATGTTATTATAGAGAATTATAAACCATTCGTGTCGAACGGTTCTATATCACTCTTGGGTAATTCGACCAATCCTAGCCCTATTAAAATTTTAAGGGATACAGGAGCTTCTCAGAGACTTTTAGTGTCACATATGTTGCCTTCTTCTAAGAATTCCTGTTCTAATGAGTCTGTTCTCATTCAGGGAGTAGAGTGCGGCTTTGTTAATGTTCCTCTTCCTTCTGTAAATTTGTCATCAGGCTTAGTTTCAGGACATGTGACTGTCAGCATAGTGTATAACCTACATGTTGAGGGCATTTATTTGTTGCTAAGCAATGACTTAGCTGGAGACAAGGATGTGGTTAATCCATTTGTAACTGACAAGCCTTCTTTGGATCAGAAACTTGATCCAGTCGAAAGAGAATACCCAGAGCTATGTCCAGCTTGTGAAGTTACCAGAGCTATGTTAACAAAAGCTCTTGAAAATGACTTTCATAAGAAATATATTCCTTTAGCTGACATATGTATTGGTCAGGCTTTTGATGAGGTCACATTCACTTCTAATTTTGTTCATTCGGGTGGTATTGATCACAGTGATCCTCTTTTAAATACTAATTCACTTTTTTCTAATCAGGGTAATAAACGATAATCACGTGTCGTCGACCAGGAAAAAGATCCCGAGATCTGTTTGTTTCAGAGGGCCGTTAGTGAAACTGAAGCAACTGAAGTACCTATTTGTTACTTGACTAAAAATGGATTCTTATGAAAAACTGGA